TAGAAAGTATACGGACAGACGCTTGGGCACCAGGCCCAGCCCCAATGCCGTGCTGTGACCAGAAGTGCCGACCTTTTCGATTATCGTTAAATGGGAAATATTATTTTTATTCAGAATGCATTTCTCTACCGGTCAGTATGTATTTATTTTGACAAGAGTGACGTTGTTTTTTAGTTATAAGCTTCCTAGAGTTGAGCCGGATACTGGACGGTGGGGTACGAGTTTACCCTGCGTTCAGTGGGGTGGAAGATACGCTAGGTGAGAACCAAAGGACAAAAGTGAGCGATACCCAAGCCAGTTACACTATAATTAGTCGGAGTTTGCCGTGTTGAGGGCTGCCTGACTATGGGAAACATATACTGAGCCGGTGGTTGCCGGAAAGAAAGGGAAAAAAGTTATTGGTTTCTAACGTGTATTGGAATAGTCCTAAAGATATATTATTTGATCACTAATTTTATCCTAGCAGAGCTCGCTAAAATACTTTAATATGTTTTGTGCGAAATATTAGTATGTTTTTTAAGCATAAATATTCTTTTATATCTAAAGCTATTTATTTGAAATAAAAAATCAAATATATATATATCTAATCCTAATCAAACGCCAAAATATTGAAATACAAATGTTAGTGGCTCTTTAAAAACTGGGAACTTATGTAAATTGTAACTTTTGGCTCTTACGGCTCAAGGGGTTGCCGACCCCTGATCCAGACAATAATGGATTTTATTTTTAAATAATAGATTCGAAAAAAAACTGAGAAAAAAAGATATTTTACCCGCTCCGATCTAGCAATAAATTGATGAATTTTGTTTAACTATGAGTTTTTTTCTGTCGTGGTTGTTTTTAGCTTAGTTGCAGTGAATTATTTCTTTATTCAATGTGTCCATTTTTTAGATTTTTTTTTTTTAAGAACTAATGTACATTTGATTTTTAGTTATAAATAATGTATTTACTTTAAAAATAACGCTGTAACTAATATTAAAATCTTTTTTATTTCATTTATTGACTATTATTGACAACGATTACCTCCCATCTCACATTAGTATGCAGAGTTTTGCTATAAAATCGAATAAGCGACAAACTCAGTAAACGAAATCATCTGACTCGTTAGATAGAATCCCAGTTCGAATCGATACGACGTCATTGAGCTCGTTCAGCCTATATTAATACCTGTATTTAGTTGGGAGAAAAAAATAATTAATTACGACGTCGGACTCTATACACTAACCCATATATAGGCAAACCACTTTTAAAAAATCAACTGAACTCTACTGCAACTAGTCAACATTCATGTGGCGGGTTTAAAAAATAAATATATATATATATATATATATTACTATATAGCCTACTTAGCTTACAAATATAAAGAGCATGGTTTTTAACTTGATTCGATCATATTCAAATACAGACCGAAAACTTTAATGTTAACATTTTAGTGAATAAAAAAATGTTCATCAAAGACCTCAGATCAGATGTAGTTCAAAATATTGAAATTCTCCCGAGAGAAGGTCTAACTCTGCGACCTAAATCCTTAAGGTACATCATTACAAATCTAGAGTGCGGTTAAACATTAATCCTTTAATCTAGTTTACTGAGGGGTTTTTAATGAGGTCCGGAGCTTCAGGAAATGCATTGATCCATTGATTCTTAACGAATTATTTCTTGGTAAATATTAATTTTATAAAATCCGGAGTATTTACTTTTAATTGACGATATTATTCAGGTTCGGTTAGATGATGAGCTTAAAGTAGGAGGAGTTGAAATAGAGACATTTACTAGTATCAGAACATACGATGTTCTCTAGTAGAAGTAACGCATTGAATAGGCTCCATACACATGTCTGTAGGAAAAATTGCTAAGGACAGAGGACTCTGGAGCTTTTGGTTAACGGCCCATAATCCAGCAGGACAGAGGACTCTGTATTGCGGCCCATACCCCAGTAGGACAGATGACTGAAGTTCTTTTGGTTGGCGGCTCATACCCCAGCAGGACAGAGGATTAGAGATTTTGTTGGCGGCCCATACCCCAGCAGGACAGAGGACTCTGAAGTTCTTTTGGTTGGCGGCCCATACCCCAGCAGGACAGAGGACTCTAGAGATTTTGTTGGCGGCCCATACCCCAGCAGGACAGAGGACTCTGGAGATCTTTGGTTGGCGGCCCATACCCCAGCAGGACAGAGGACTAGAGATTTTGTTGGCGGCCCATACCCCAGCAGGACAGAGGACTCTGTATGGCGGCCCATACCCCAACAGAACAGAGGACTCGGGAGTGATGAATATGACATATGATCTTTTCCGTTTACCGTACGTCAATGTTTAAGTCACCAGTATTGCCATCACGACAGAAGTGCTCAATATAGTCTAGGGGTAATCGTTTGGTTTTGTTTGTATTTAATGTATTGAAGTATATTTAGCAGCTACTTAAAGGCCTTCAGTAAATCAGTAAATAAAGCTATTTTAATTAAATACCCTCTTCCCCGCCCCCTTCTCTCCCTCCCGTCTAAATAAACTTATTTATTTCAAAACAAATTATTAAAATAAACAATCTATAAACTCAGTTTTGTAAAGAAAAAGAAATAGTTTTCTACGTCGTCGGTATTGATTCCCCCTCTCCCCTCACGTCCTCCACCAGCCCCCCCCCCCCCTCCCCACCTAACTGTGTCACAAAATCAACAATCCACCCCTTCCCTTTAGTCCGTGACGTCAACCATTGACAACTCGTATACCAGATAATTAGAATTAGATACTCGTGATATCTTCCACTCTATCCTCATCACATCTTGCCCTCTGGCGGCCATTTTTGTGTACACTTCACAAGGCCAAATCTTTAAAGCCCTTAAAAAGCCCACAGAGTCTTATATTTTTAAAGTCGCCATTCTCCCTATCTTTAAAGCCCCTTTTTTCCTTAAACAGCCCATACAGAGGTCATATACTTTTAAATTTTCCATACACCCTTATCTTTAAAGCAAAGGCCCATACAGTGTATTATACTATTAAAGTTTCCACCCCCCTCCCCCTATGTTAAAGCCCCTTTTATTCCTTAAAAAACCCACAAACGCCCACACAGGGTGCCTTTTCCACCCACCCCACCCCCCCCCCCCCTTATTTTAAAGCCCTTTTATCCCTTAAAACCCACGCAGAGTATCATATACTTTTAAAGTCCCTTCCCCCCCCCCCCCCGCATGAATATGACAAGACAGATCCCAGGGGAAAGATAGACAGTGACTGCTGTATGTATGGGAAAGATAGACAGTGGGTGTGTATGGGAAAGATAGACAGTGACTGCTGTATGTATGGGAAAGATAAACAGTGACTGCTGTGTGTATGGGAAAGATAGACAGTGGGTGTGTATGGGAAAGATAGACAGTGACTGCTGTGTGTATGGGAAAGATAGACAGTGGGTGTGTATGGGAAAGATAGACAGTGACTGCTGTGTGTATGGGAAAGATAAACAGTGACTGCTGTGTGTATGGGAAAGATAGACAGTGACTGCTGTGTGTATGGGAAAGATAGACAGTGATAGACAGTGACTGCTGTATGTATGGGAAAGATAGACAGTGACTGCTAAACGTATGGGAAAGATAGACAGTGACTGCTGTGTGTATGGGAATGATAGACAGTGACTGCTGTGTGTATGGGAAAGATAGACAGTGACTGCTGTGTGTATGGGAAAGATAAACAGTGACTGCTAAACGTATGGGAAAGATAGACAGTGACTGCTGTGTGTATGGGAATGATAGACAGTGACTGCTGTGTGTATGGGAAAGATAGACAGTGACTGCTGTGTGTATGGGAATGATAGACAGTGACTGCTGTGTGTATGGGAAAGATAGACAGTGACTGCTAAACGAATGGGAAAGATAGACAGTGACTGCTGTGTGTATGGGAAAGATAGACAGTGACTGCTGTGTGTATGGGAATGATAGACAGTGACTGATGTGTGTATGGGAAAGATAGACAGTGACTGCTGTATGTATATCCTCGCCTCTCTATTGGTGCCACTTAACGCTAGATCGATCAGACACAAGCTCGGGGAATCCGGTGCTATTTTTAGCATGATTCTAAATCAACCCACAAAGGCAGGTTTTCTTTCAGCCATTTCTTCGAAGTAAGTTGTAATATTTTTTCTTCGCAAGATTTTGTAGTAGTATTATTATTTAATTAATTATTTCGATCAGTTGTTCTTTAATTCCTTTTTCACCTCATTTTTTTTTTAAATATTTAAAACGTTTATTTGGATAATAAACGGTATTTAGCTAATCATCGTTGACCTACTATTGTACCGTTAAATTATAATTACAATATAACATTCAGTGTTTTTTCCAGACTTTTTCTCCGGATAGCACTTGAAATTTTCGGGGGGGGGGGGGGGGTGCGGACACTGTTAAAAGTATATATTTTCTAAATAAATTATATTTCCTTGGGGGGGGGGGGGGACCGGAAGTAAAAGAAACGGAGTGGTCTAGCGGTAGAGAGCTGGACTGCTAACGCGTAAGTCTGGAGTTCGAATCCGGGTTCTAGTCAGCAGACCGTCCCTGAGTCTACCCAGCTCTGATGGGTACCTAACTCACGCTAGGGAAAGTAAAGGCGGTTGGACATAGTGCTGACCACACTATCTCTTCATATGCCGAGGTCACAGAAACAAATGAACTCTACTTCACTTGCCCCATAGACCGTCAGATTTGAAAGGGAAACTTTACTTTTTTACTTAACCCAGGGAGTCAAGTGTTTTTAACATGTATTGCTTTATATATATATATATATATATATATATATATATATATATATATATATATATATATATATATATATATATATATATATGTGTGTGTGTATATATATATATATATATATATATATATATATATATATATATATATATATATATATATATATATATATATATATATATATATATATATATATATATATATATATATATATATATATATATATATATATACATACATATACATGAAATTAAACTAATTAAGCTGGACTTACTTAACATCCTAATGACCACCTTGCGCGGCTGGTGCGGCAGGGTGGACGAGCGATGCATGCTGGAATAACTCTTCTCATCCGACGACCCCCGGGCCAGCGGTGACCTCCGCAGGGCGATGCCGATGAGAATGTAGAGGATGATGATCAAAGTAACGGGGCCGATGAAGAAGAGGAAGGTGGAGACCTGGAACATGTAGTACATGAAGCCGGAGAGGAGGTACTCGGGGATGTTGCAGATGAGGGAGTCTGGGATGGGCACGCTGATGTTGGGGTAGGTCACGGCGTGGTAGATCCGGGTGTGGACGGCGTACGGGAGCGCCACGCCAAGGGAGACGATCCAGATGGAGATGATGATTTTTACCGCTCTGGAAAATGAAAAAAAAGAGAAAAGAAATATTAGGTTTACTATAAAGAGTTGTGATATTGTTAATATATCTTTTTTTTTCTAATTAATTATGTTTTATTTGTTTTTAAAGATTTTACAATTGTATATGTGTATCAAAATTATTATTTTGAATTGTTATATATTTTGAATATTATTTTGATTTTTTTTTAAAACTTAATTCCTTTTTATATTTTATTAAAGGCGATTATACCGTTTTTGACAAGAATTAAAATTAGTATTATCTGAATTCGAGTTTTTAAATTAAATTACGCTTTTAAAGCCTTAGTCGTATTTTTATATTGATTTGAACCTCTTTTTAAGCCAGAAACCAAATTTGTGGTTTGGAAACGATTCAACACACACACAAAAGTGATCATTTTGTTTTGGTCAAGACGAGATTTTTCTATGTAGAGATTGAAGAAACTGAATGTCTATGACCTAGTCGGATTGTCGTGACCCTATCTACTGAAACTGTTGAGATGGGCTACAATTCGTGAAAATACGATTGTTCTTTTAGTTTTGGTATATAACAAGTTAGCCTAGCTCATAACGGAAGGTTTTCCATTCAATGCCTATCCGGCGTGTGACTGTCCGGCAAAGGTACGTCCGGTTAAGGTACGTCCGGTTAAGGTTTTCCGAATTATGAAGTTCCGGTGGATGCACAGCTGTCTTTAGTGTATGGACTGGTTGATTGAGGCGAGATATAGGGCGTTCTTCGGAATCAGAGATCAATTAAACTTAGCCATTGTTTGTCTATGTGTAGGTCAACAGTAGACGGGTTCATATTTTAATAAGAAGCAGTTTGTTAGTACAGATTTTAACAGTAACGAATTAGTTAAATTAAAATTAGAAATGGCAAATAGCTACGTCAGGGGTCGGCAACCTGCGTCTCGCGAGCCACATGCGGCTCTTTTGATGTCAATATGCGGCTCCCCAGTGCCATTATAATTATATTATTTTGTTTTCAGAAACTCAAAAAAAATATTATACTGTAAAAAACAAAACTCTAATCAAAATAAAAAACAATGAAAATATGTGGATTAGAGAGTACGAGCCGACCCGCGGCGTAATGATACGCCGCTAAGCTATTTAGTTGTTTTATTTTCTACTTTTCAGTAATTCATAATTTGTGAATTCGACAGTACCACTGCTATCACTGAAAATATTTGCTTTAAAACACTATCAGTGGCTCGTTAAGGACGATAACCCCCCCCCCCCCCAACCCTTATCACCCCCCCCCCTGAAAGCAGCCTCCTCTTAGTTACCTCCCCTAAGTTTAAAATTGTTTCAAACTAAATTATCTGCCCCTAATAGCTGTCACTAAACCCGGCTCTACGATTGTAAACATTTAGCGTGAACCACAGCTCACCAGACCATGTGATATGCCTAGAGAGGAAGAGAGGGGACTGCAAGGCGCGCTTACAGCTTGGTGTTTTCTAACGTCCCCAAAAAGAGATTTATATATAGATATGGACATCTGACATCCTCTGGGCATTAGGCCCAGCCCTAACAACTGTGCTGTGTCAGTCTCGTGGCAATGGTTCCATGCTTTCCACTACTGAGGTGATCAGAAAAATGTTAGTGGCTCTTTCAAAATTGGGAAATTTGTAGATTGCCACTTTTGGCCCTCCCATCTGTAAAGGTTGCGGTCCCTGAGCTATATATGATTAATATTTATTTAAATTATCCTCCTCATAAATAATTGAGTGAATTCAATGAATCAAATAGACCTTGTGATAAAAACGCACTTTTGTAAGAGTATATAATAAAGTAAGCGCTTTCGAGTCTTCTAATTGTGTATTTAACAACGCTATACCTTCTCTAATAAAATAAGAATCAAATGATTATTTTAAAACAAATATAAGACAAAAGAACAACACATATCCAGATACAGTTTTATTTGTAAAAGCTAAACTAAAATAAAAAGTTTTAATTTTTTATATAAAAAAACTTTATTTTACAATAATATACTTTTTTGTAAATATAGTATGAAATTGTCTCCCATGTACTCTCTGCCTTTATGTAAAGAAGAAGTAGCTAAGATATTATATAATTTTTCAAATTCAATAAATATTTCTTAACACTGTATATTAAACAATGTTGTTTTTCATTTCTAATAGTGTATATAAGCAGACATTAGCTTTTACTTTTACTATACAAGTAAAAAAGAGGCTTATTTGCATAGATATGTTACTAAATGCAGCACTATTTGCATCAGTTTGTGTTCATATTTCATGCTCAAATTTGGAAATTAAAAACCAGCGTGTAGTTTGCCTTAGCCGTTGAATTTTTACTCAATCCAATGTTCGCCTATACTAGCTGTATCCCTTGAAAGTAAACACGTTATTTGTTGTAAATTGTTTTTTCTTAACTAGGCCTACAATTTGTGTGTTAATGGTTGCCTTAGGTCTTTTAATTTTGACAATTTCTTATTGTTCTACTGTCCCTCCCCCCTATCCCCCCTCCAATTGAACGCTCCGTAATATGAATGTAGTGGCGTAGCTAGGGGAGGGCGGGTGGGGCGGCCGGCCCGGGCGCCGACTGTAAAGGGGCTCCCAATGAGGTAAAAAATTAATTAAAAAGCTCATTTTAAGCTGAGGTATTGAATTATACAGTCAAAGCTACGAAAAGAAACGACTTCAAGTCTTTACTCACCGATTTAACTGTTTTCTATATCAATTGTGTGGCACCGAAATGGAAATTGTTGCGGGATAGCAACTGGCAAGAACCGCAACAAACCTTTCCAACAGGGGAGGGGGGGGAAGGGGCACTTTTTCCACAGACAGGAATAACTATTCGTAGAAATGGGAGAGATGGGGCGCAAAATTGAAAGTATGTCTCGGGCGCCGGAATGGGCCGCTACTCCTCTCTATGAATGGCATTGTGTACTCAAAAAGGTGTGACACCAATGCCTCACTCACTTAACCCATGAGGCCTTATGCAGCTGTAACGATAGTATGTTGCTAGGTGTGAAAACATTGGCCACTGAAAAACTTATTCGCTTTCCTTAACGACGCTGTGGTCTTGTTGGCCAACAGGGGGGGGGGGGGGTCAGATGGCCAGGTGTGAGGAAATGGGTGATACCATTGGCCACTTAAAACGTATTCCCTTACCTAGACAACCCTATACCTTGTGGGCCAACAGAGGGTAGTATATGGCCAGGTATGTAGACAGGTGTGATACCATTGGCCACTTAGTTCGTATACCATTACCTAGACAGCGCTGTGATCTTGTGGGCCAAAAACGGTTGGCATATGGCCAGGTATGTAAGATGGCCACTTAGAACGTATTCCCTTACCTTGACAACGCCGTGATCTTATGGGCCAACAGAGGGTGGCAGATGGCCAGGTATGTAAGATGGCCACTTAGAACGTATTCCCTTACCTTGACGACGCCGTGATCTTATGGGCCAACAGAGGGTGGCAGATGGCCAGGTATGTAAGATGGCCACTTAAAACGTATACCCTTACCTAGACAAAGCCGTGATCTTATGGGCCAACAGAGGATGGCAGATGGCCAAGTATCTCTCTACAGTGAAGGCAGTGATGGTGAGCACTGAAGCATACGACGTCGACTCTAGCACAGTCTGACGCAGGTAGCAGAAAGGTTCCCCTAATCTCCAGGGGTAGGCCTCCCATATGGCATACAGCTCCGGTGGTAAACCTGGAAAAAATGTTAAACAAATATTGAGTTTGTAATTTAGTTGTATTGGGTCTAATATGGCATATAGCTTCGGTGGTAAGCCTGAAAAAAGATTACACAAAATATTAAGTTACTAATATACTTGTACTAGGTGGTAAGTCGGAAAGAAAAAGTTAAACAAAATATCCAATTACTAATATATTTTTACTGGAGCTACGACACATTCTCAAAATACACTAGCTCGATTCGGGCATTTGTAGCATTCGTGCAATAGTCCATTTGGGCATTTGTCCATTCGGGCGTATGTCGCTTTCGGGCAAGTGTCTTTCGGGAAAACGTCCGGCGACCCTTTTTACCAGATCAATATATTTAAAAATAGAAAAACATACGAAAAATAATATTTTTAATAACAAGTTTTTAAATGCAAACCCTCTCGAGGGTAAATATTGATATTCATGTACAACAAATGGGAAATCTAACAATGACCAAACCCCCTGCTTTAGCTAAATGTTGATATTCATGCCCAACATAGGAGACATCCAACATTCACCAAACCCCCTGCCTTAGCTAAATGTTGATATTCATGTCCAACATAGGAGACATCAAACATTCACCAAACCCCCTGCCTTAGCTAAATGTTGATATTCATGTCCAACATAGGAGACATCCAACATTTGGGGGAAAAAAACCCTGTCGTAGCTAAATGTTGATATTCATGCCCAACATAGGAGACATCCAACATTCACCAAACCCCCTGCCTTAGCTAAATGTTGATATTCATGCCCAACATAGGAGACATCCAACATTCACCAAACCCCTTGCCTTAGCTAAATGTTGATATTCATGTCCAACATAGGAGACATCCAACATTCACCAAACCCCCTGCCTTAGCTAAATGTTGATATTCATGTCCAACATAGGAGACATCCAACATTCACCAAACCCCCTGCCTTAGCTAAATGTTGATATTCATGCCCAACATAGGACACATCCAACATTGGCCGAACCCCCTGCCGTAGCTAAATGTTGATATTCATGTCCAACATAGGAGACATCCAACATTCCCTAAACCCCCTGCCTTAGCTAAATGTTGATATTCATGCCCAACATAAGAGACATCCAACATTCACCAAACCCCCTGCCTTAGCTAAATGTTGATATTCGTGCCCAACATAGGAGACATTCAACATTCCCTAAACCCCCTGCCTTAGCTAAATGTTGATATTCATGCCCAACTCACAGAAAATCCAATACAGACTGGCATAAATCTGACCTAATACAGTTACCAGCATCACGTGGTCTATCGGATCTTCTCGGCCAGTACACAATGTCCATAACAGCCCTTTTCTTATGCACAGGCAAAGGTAGTCGATAATTTATCTCCCCTGGTCTAGCTTTCCTAAACTTAACGAAGGGTTTTAAACAATGGTTTTAGACATGCGCAGAGCTTATTTCTAGCAGATGCTGTAATAAACATGTAAGCCACACTCTGCAAGAACTACTAATAGCAGTTTTAGAAGTTTTATGCAACATTCTGCAAGAATAATTTCTTTCAGGGGAAGGTGTTTTCGCATGTGTGTGTTTTTTTATTATTATTTTTGTTTTTGATTTTTTTTTTTTTTTTTTTTTTTTTTTTTTTTTTTTTTTTTTTGTAAGTGCCAGTTTCTATGGAAGGAAATTAATATTTTCAATAAACTGAATTTTTTTTCTAGGCTGTTAACGTGAAGACCAGGATCAGGATGGGAGTAAAGACAAAACGTAGGAGCTATCAACGTAAATTCACTTTCGTAATCTTGGCGATACAAGCAGAATTGTCGTGAAAACTGTGCACAAACAAAACTAAATGCATACATTAATTTAAGCCGATGACACTTTCAAAACATGTCACACTACCTAAGTACAGATAAACTGAACATAATTCCTTCGTTCTTGTAACATGCTTGTTATCATTTATAGACATAGTTATTATTTATAGATATTAAAGAATGCTAATAAAGTATAAATGATTAATGTATAAGAAAATTGACAGAGACTGAATATAAATAAAATAGATCTTCGTTACGTAAGTATTCATAAAACTGAACAACTAATTGGAAATTAGAATAATTGAACACGGTGAATTGATTTAATTTCACTTCATGTTTAGCTTGCATCGTCCAAAAAGATGTACACATGAAAGGCTGTACTTCCTAAATAGGAACTGCATATGTTTGGTCGCTATTCAACTTAATCCACGCAATTCGCCATCCACGCAACTTTATCCACGCCACTCCACCCACTAAGTGTATCGCTAATTTTAATTACCGCCGCACTCAGGGAGTGCAAATATGACTTATTTCTTGGAGGTTCTGAAAATTATTTCAAATTTAGGGATAATTAAATCACAAAACTATTTTTTTACGTTGTAAAAAATTGCGGTTATGTAAGTAAGAAAAAGGGACGGTGTGGTAGAGAGCTGGACTGCTAACCCAAGCATCTCGAGTTCGAATCCGGGTTAAAATCAGAGGAACGTCCCTGAGTCCACCCAGCTCTGATGGGTACCTAACTTACGTTAGGGAAACAAAGGCGGCAGGGCATAATGCTGACAACGGTATCCTTTTATATGCCGAGGTCTCTGAAGCAGATGGACTCTACTTCATCTGCCCCTTCTTGGGCACGTACGGGTAATGAAGAAGTAAGAAAAAGTGTCTAATTTCCTCTAAATTGTTTAAATTCGCATGTCACTTTGGAATACCATTTAAAACGAATCGGTAATAAAGGTTGTAATTTTTTTCTTTCCTATCTGAAATAAGATATTTTATTTTATTTTCCAAAGACAGAACATTCAACTAAACATTTAAAATCTTGGGTTTTACAAATTTTCTATCAAAAACTTGTCGTGAAATATTTTTTTTTATTAAACACTTTTCAATATGACTCGCAAACAAAAAGTATAAATGAAAATTAAATTAAGGTACACCAAACATTGTATAAATTAGTAAACAATTTTTAAAGCTTTTACCGAAATCTTGGTTAATTGCTACTAATTAAGGTTAAAATTATTTCCGTTATGTGAGTTCTATATTCAGCTTGACACGAAAGCATTACGTCTAGATGCAGCCAAGTAATTCAATTAATATAATTTGAGCTATACTTGAGTCAAGGCCAACTCGTATTTCTTTTTTTTTTTTTTTTTTTTTTTTGTAAGGTCTTGTGAAATTGTGTTACAGTTTCAGACAAATAATGGACACCAGCGAGTTGACGAGATTCCTTCCGTAATGTTGTTGACATGGAATAAAAATGTGCTTTTTTAGATTTAGGACCATAAAACTAATAAAAGATAAAATTTTATTAAAAACTTAAGCCTAAAATTAATTCAGAAATGTAATATTTTTAGAATCAATGCTATACAAGTTGCAGATCCAGAGAACTTGAAAATAATTTGTTGAATTTAAGGCTACATTTCTATTTATTTTCATCAAGCCTAAGTTATAACCCGATGTTTAACTTTCGTAAGACAAACATTGATTGGCTGTAAAGGAACTCCGTGTTCGATTGGTGACAGCCCCACTTTATAGTTATTTTGTTTACAAAACTTTGCAGATCAAGTTTTTAAATAACTATGCAAATTTAAACACCATGACCTATTTTTTTCTATTTTTAGCTTACAATGTGTACAATAAAATGTATGGCGGACATTGTTTATGTCGCCATTACACGTGAAAACCAAATTGTTTTTGCTTTTTTTTTAATTTTTATTTAGTTACCGAAAATATTAAAAACATCAAATACATCCAATCTTTAGTAAAGTCCGAAAAAAACCAGACAGACAGGATTTTATAACCATATTAATTGTAACTACGCCGTGCAAGATTTTTAAATGAATGTATACACCTCTCAAATACCTTTGAGACTTTTCTCGCTGGTGTCCATTGTGGATCTCTATTTCAAGAAATAATTCAGTCTATTTCGTGATCAATTTGTCAAGAAATATTTTAAAAAATATTTCTCAATACTGTAAAATCCAAATGCTGTTAGTCCTCCCGCTTGAATGTAATGCAAATGCCAGAACGGTTGGAGGGGGGGGGGGGGTATGGGAATGATAATATCACCGTGACGAATATCATTTGCCATAAGGTATGGACAGAGACCGTCGCATGTGACGTCACTTGATACGGTAATTATCTCATTAGATGAATGTATTTTTTCCCAAGAACATTAGACAGATTGACATAAGTTGATTCGTTTTTATAGGCCGCAGCTATAAATCAGAGGTATAGGAACACAAAGCATAACTTTATCATTGTATGGAAATATACGTATACATAATATATATATATATATATATATATATATATATATATATATATATATATATATATATATTCCTGGCAGAAATAATCCTATAAACATATGATACCATATAAAGAGTTCATTCAAACATTGTAATATAGGCTGATTAGACGAAAATTTAAGCTAATTTATTCATGATGAAAGGAAATGAATACATCAAATGAATGTATGTATTTTGTTCATCAAAGCCGGATCAAAGCTGACTTTATAACTAGATGGATATTGCATGTGGTCAGTGATGTGGGGGTTGTAGGTTGCTGCTCTAGACGTGGGCTTAGTTCAGATGACCGTGGGGCATATCCACAAGGAAGACCTACTACTGTGTGAAAGAATCCTCTTTAGACCCAGCGATCCATTTGGGCAGATGAAGTAGAGTTTGTATGTTGTTGTTTTTTTTTTTTTACCTCGGCATAAAAATGGATAGTGTAGTCAACACTATGCCCAGCAGTTTTTACATTTCCCAATGTAAGTCAGGTACCCATCAGAGCTGGGTGGACTCAGGGACGTCCTACATTCACTAGTCTGAACCGAGATCCGAACTCGAGACCTGTGTAGGATTTTCATCGTAGAGATATTTTTACCAAAGCATTTGATCAGTTGGATTTGTTTTATTTTTTTTCCATTCTTATAGCTACGTGCCAAAAGAAATTTAGCATTTCGTTAATCTAGATTTAGAGGGATATAGTTTGAACAGTGAGGATAATCAATTCATTACCGGTTCGTAGATGTGCTGAAACTAAATGTGAGAAAATTATGGGATAGCACATCAGATGTGTGGGCTGTGGTGGTGTGGTTTTTTATTCGAGACAATTGAGACATATACGACTTGAGACCGGTGACATGTGACTTGTGAGATTTGACACGTGTCTTGTAAACGAAGACGTGAGATCTATGACATGTGATGTAAGACTTTGAGACATATGACCGAAGACCTTGAGTAATGTGACCAAAGGCTTTGAGGAATGTGACCTAAGACCTTGAGACATGACCTAAGATCTTGAGACATGTGACCTAGGACCTTGAGACATGTGACCCAAGACCTTGAGACATGTGACCTAAGACCTGAGCAGTATGACCTAAGACCTTGAGCAATGTGACCTAAGACCTTGAGTAATATAACCTAAGACTTTGAGACATGTGACATAAACCTTGAGACATGTGACCTAAGACGTTGAGAAATGTAATCTGAGACAAGGGATCTAAGACGTGACCGATGACGTAAAACAAAAGACATTAGAGATACATACACAAGCCCATAAGTGAAATTTAAACCAGTAAACACTATTTTGTTTTATACAGAAGAAAAACATCAGTCTAAAAAAAAAGAACAAAATAGTCTAGTCCACATCTTCATAAAACTGAACAACCACACAACAGAACAGAACATACATGCCCAGACAACCTCTAACTAAGCTACCAGAGAAAGATTGGTGTGGGGGGGGGGGGGGCTCACTGGCGCATTGAATGCTGTGAGTAGACCGACACTGTAAAAGACTGCGGCTTACAAGTGTAGCACACGGCGCGGGTCCCCATCAATACATCATCATCCCCCGTGCACGGGGGCCCCGCTGGGAAATATCAGAGTCAGACGCTAAACGGAAGTTTCCAGAAAGAAAAGTTTCCATTGGTGTGAATACCGCGTATTGGATGATGCCGTGGGGATGGGGGGTGACGCAGGTGGGGGGGGGGGGGGGGGGGTAAGTAGAAACTAGACGAATACAATTCTCATGCAGACTATTAGAATAAAATATAACGAGTATATTTTTCTTATAACTCTGGAAGTAAAAAACAAAGTAAAGAATCCTCTTAGACCTAACGATCCATTGAGCAGATGAAGTAGAGTTCATATCTTGACCGTGATAGATAAAGGGAAGGTGTGGTCTTCACTTTGACTAGCCGCGTTTACTTTCCCTAACACGAGCTAGGTACCCATCAGAGCTGGGTGGACTCAGGGACGTTCTACTGGTTTGGACCCGGATAGGACTCGTACATAAAACGTCCATGCAACGACTAGCAATAATTATGGGGATATCGCTGCACGCAGTAATTATAAAACTGAGATAACTATAGCTTTAGAAAAATTTGATACGGATAGTTACCACAAAACTATATTTTAAATATTATCAACAGGGTTATTTTGAGTGATTTCTTCTTGCTGGGCATATTTTTTTTAATTCCCTCGTAATTTTAAAAGTTTGCGCGATCGTCTGGTACGTTTAAACCAATTTCGATAATAAACGACACCATAAATGTGTCAGTCAATATTGAAAGTACTCGCCGACACTTAAAACTACAGGAGAAAAATTAAGTGTCGTAACTGGTACGGACGCGTGCACCGTTTCATTTCCTCCCCTCATCTGTTTTCGTGAATCTCCTTTATTTTCATCTATTTCAGCCATCTATTTTTCTTAATCATCGACTTCTTCTCTCATCTATTACGGCTGAATTCACGTGACGTTGAATAGGGCTGTGATGAACAAAAAATCTGGTTTAACCAAGTCTTGCTTGGACTTACGTGATTTTCAAGACTAGACCAATTAGATCCGTTTGATTGGAGGAATTCGACTAGAAACATTTCCTGTCGTGGTATCGAGAGGATTTTTTTTTTTATATTCTTATTGAAATACAAGACAAGTTTGAAGATAATCGATACCCAAATTGGCTGACCGAGAGGTCAAAGTTGAAAGATGAGGGTAGGTCACTGTTTATTGTGTAAAGGGGGACGTGTAAATGAAATGGTAGGAAAATAAGGAGGAGAGGGATCAAAACAAGTGAGATCAAACATAAGTTAGATCAGTCAGCGCTTGAAAAGAACTTAACT